AAAAGATAATGCGAAGTGAAGTTAGCTAATCCCCAAAACCAAATGCTGAATGTTTTCTTTGATGTAAGAGGCTGATTCATAGTGGGATGCGGAGAGGGAGCATGGGAGGAACAGACGAATTCTAAATAGGGCAGAGGGGTTGGAGGGGAAGGGAAGGGGCATGGAGTTATTAATGATGGTGGGATGTGATGATCATTATTATCCAAAGTACAGGTTTGAAGACATGAACTGGTATGGATATACTTTGTATACAACTAGAGATATGAAAAAATATAGTATATGTGTAATAAGAATTGTCATGCATTTCGCTGTCATATATAAATTTTAAAAAATTAATTTAAAAAAATCCAGACCGCCAGAACTTCTGACCAGCTGGCTTCTAATTGAGATTTCCACAACCCCATCCTTAGGTACAGTTAATTTGTTAGAGCAGTTCACAGAACTCAGGGAAACATTTATGTTTACTAGTTTATTATACAAGATATTTTAAAGAATACAAATAAATGGCCAGATGAAGAGAGATATAGGGTGAGATTTGGAAGGATCCTGAGCCCAGGAGTATCCATCCCCAGAAGTTGGCTTCACCATCTTGCTAGGATGTGGATGAGTCGTTTTTTTACCTTCCTGTCAGCCTCCACACATTCAGCTGTCCAGAAGCTTTCAGAACCCTTTTTAATTTTTTTTAAATGAAGGTTTTATTGCATAAACATGACTGAAACATAGGCAACTGTGTAACAATGTAATTAGACAAAAAAGGTATGATCTAATGCTAATAAATGAGTGGGGAAAACCAGCAAAGCCTGTCTGTTCAAGATTCTTCTTGGCCTCTCTGTGCAAATTTCCTTGCTCTAAACTATGAGACAGGACCCTTTTTAAAAAAGGCTTATGATCTAGTGTCAGACAAGATGTGTCAGAGAATTTCTTTATGACTAGCTGAGAGATAGAAAGGTAGGGGGAAGATTAGAGTATAAGTTTAGTTTCTTTTTTCTGCTGTACTGGGCTTGAACCCAGAGATTCTCTACCACTGAGCTATATCCCCACCCCTGTTTATTTTGCTACAGGGTCTCACTAAATTGCCGAGGCTGGCCTTGAACTTGCAGTTGTCCTGCCTCAGCCTCCCAAGTGGCTGGGATTACAGGTGTGCACCACTGAGCCCAGCTATATTTTTAATTTCTATGACCTGCCTTGAGGAAGAGAAGTTCTGGTATCTGTGGTATGCCTTGGGGACAAAAAGGATCAGGTGAAAGGAGGACACAAGGTTAAAGAGAGACAGGGATTCTGGTTTCTGAAGCCTAAAGTACCTTTTATAACTATCTAGGACTGGAAATGTAGCTCAGTGCTTGCCTAGCATACATGAGGCCCTAGATTCCATCCCTAGCACTGCACTGAGTAAATGGATAGATAGATGGATGGAATTATGGAATTATGGAACTATGGATGAAACCCCAAATATACATACATTATAAAATCACAAGTAACACCTCCATGTTGAGTTTATGGTAATTACCATTGCCTTTCTCATGAACAAGTACATTGTGTAATTTGCTCTGTGTTCTACCTTGCTCTTAAATCAGAAGGGGTATTCTGTTCTTTTTTTGCCTTCCCTTTTTCCTTATGATCATATGCACTTAGTATTTATTTTTTTGATAAAGGCAGATGTTTTAGAAAACTGAACTCTGATTCTCTGTGGACAATTTCCACATGGATGGGGAGAAATGCTGATTGTAAACAACAGCCAAATAAATCTTTGGAAATACAATACAGGATAACCTGCTACTCAGAAAAGTAGAGAACCTGTAAGAGTCTCTGTTTAGGAATACCACACTTACTTATGCAGTTGCTCTGGCATTTAAAGCTGACTTGCTTCTGTCATTTCTATGCTGCAAATGGAAGTAGTAAAAATAAAGAACAGGATTCCTCCTTTAGCCCTGTAGAATTGTTTTTAAGATCCTGTATTGAAATAAATATTGTCTTATTTTGTCTCTAACTATCTAAAATATATCTTGAGGAGGAGGCGTAGCGTTCCCTTCTGAGCGTGAAGCTGGCTTTTGGTTTTGCTTTACTGCAGCTGCCTATTGCCATTGATGATCGTTCTTCTCTCGTTTTTGGAGAACAAGAGGGAGGGAATGCAATCTGAGTGGTTTCCATTTAAATAAATAAATAAATAAATAAATATGTTAAACGGATATATTTCTTACCAGGTCCCCTATTTAAACCTATAGTAAATTTAATGGGTTCTGCTTTAAATGAATTCTTTCAGAAGGATCAGTGAATTGTTTTTCCATGTATTCATTACTATTCACAGTTCTACTTGCCTTTTTACAAGATTAGGGCTTTATTTGTTTTTCTTTTTCTTTTAGTGGTTCTAGGAACTGAACCCAGGGGCAGTCTATCACTGAGCTACATTCCCTTTTTACTTTTTATTCTATGGGCAGATTCTTGATAAGTTGCCCAGGCTGGCCTTGAATTTGGCAATCCTGCTGCCTCAACTTTCCTAGTTGCTGGGATTAACAGGGGTATGCCACCATGTCCAACTACAAGAGTAGATTTCTAATGTTCATAACAGTTTAGAAATTTTGCAGAAACTAAAGAAGATTAAGTAAGAAATTTTTAGTATACTCAGATGCAAAGAAAGGCTTTTAGGTGTGTTGCCAAGATGGAGACAAGAGGGAAATAATTTGTTAAGAAACTATAAAGAAGCCCCAAGGAATTAGGTGGAAGCAAGATGGGATAGAGAGAGAAAGTTGCCAAAGCACAATTAAGCCACAAGTATTTATGGAGTCTTTAATGTTGTGGTAAGTTACAAAATATATGCACCTCAAGTCTTATTTTTCAGGAATTGAGATCTAATTGGAACAAGAAAGGTTATGCACATGAAACAGAAAAAACTGAAAGAATTTTAACATGGTACTCCTTAGGTACAGTAGGATAGAGAAGAAAAGTGAGTGAAGACTGCAATGTTTTTTGAAGAATGGTTAATATTAAGATAAAGAGTAGAAAAAAGACACATTCTCAGTGATAACAAAACACCAAAATGGATTACAAGCCAAAGCAAACTCTTTTTTTTCCATACATATGCACCTTTAAGAGTCGTAGACTGACATACACACACAAGCTGTAAGCAAAGATGAAGGCTAGCAAATATGGCCACCAAAAATAATGAAGCAAATATAGCTAAGCATGGTGTTGCATGTCTGTGATTCTAGCGACCTGGGAAGTTGATGTGGGAGGATTTCAAGTTTTAGGCCAGCCTCAGCAACTTAGGAAGACTGTTTTAAATATAAAAAATAAGAGTTGGGGTATAGCTCAGTGGTAGAGTTCTTGCCTAACGTGCAAGGTCTTTGGTTCAATTCCCAGCACCACAATAAATAAATAAATAAAGGGCTAGGGATATAATTTAGTGGTAGAGAGCCACTGGGTTCAATCCCCAGTACTGCAAAAAATAATAGTAATAAACAAATGTAGTAATTATTTTACTTGTTTTTATAAAATATTTTTTAATTTTAAAAAAATTAAACTAATATGTATTCTTACCAAAGATAAGGAAAATCCATAAATCTTAATAGAAAAATGGCCAGTAAACATTTCACAATACTTAGCCTCAGTAAAAATTAAACAAGTGTAAACAATAAAATGCAGGTTTTCTCTTATGAGACTAGGAATGGTTTAAAAATAATAGTATTCATGAATGTGAAAAACAGGCACTTACACACTACTGGGGGGATTTAAATTCTTTTGGGAGGGTGGCAATAACTCAAGATACTTAAACATTTAAGGAACATACTCTTCAATGTAGCAGTTTTAAAGAAATCATAAGAAAAAAATAAATACCAGAAGTTCATCCAAACTTTACAATACAGAAACATTGGACATACTCCAAAAGACCTATGGCTATATTAACACAAATGAGAAAAAAATGGTGGGGCTTAATGCATCATGATCCTGTTACTGCTGAGAATGGAAATTTGGGGAACATGTGTATGTCTGTATCTACATACATGCCAGGGTGTCAGGAAGTTTCTGTGCACCACCACATTGTTAATTATTATTAACTTTAGATGGTTGGACAACTGGTGATTTTTTTTCTACTTTTTGCTTATCATACAATGAACACGTATTATTTTTTTGAAATACATTTAATGAAACACAAAGTTTGAGAATCAGAATAAGGAGCAGGTGCTTACAGTGTTCATTAAGAATGCATACTCGGGCTGGGGATGAAGGTTAGTAGTAGCACACTTGCCTAGCATGTGTGAAGCCCTGGGATTAATCCCCAGGACTACAAAAAGAATTAAGAAATAGAAAAAGAATACATTCTCTTTTCCTGTTTAATCATTAAGGAAGCGGATCTGGATTAGGTTCTAGGACCTTCAGGAATTTGGCATGGGAAGATTCCTTACCCCCACCCTATCCTATGCCTCTTGCCTAGGGGAAAAAAAAATAAGCCTAGACCCTTTTTTTTCCTTAACTCTTTAAGAATTGTACATCTGGGGCTGGGGATGTGGCTCAAGCGGTAGTGCACCTGCCTGGCATACGTGCGGCCCCGGTTCGATCCTCAGCATCACATACCAACAAAGATGTTGTATCTGCCGAGAACTAAAAAATAAATATTAAAAATTCTCTCTCTCTCCTCTCTCATTCTCTCAAAAAAAATATGTAAAAAAAAAAAGAATTGTACATCTGTATAGTTGGTAACTGCAGGATATGATTGGCTTGATAACAATAAGTCTTTTTTTAATGGCTCTTTTATTTTATTTATATGTGGTGCTGTTTTATTTATTTGTATGTGGTGCTGAGAATCAAATCCAGGGCCTCACATATACCAGGCAAGTGCTCTACCACTGAGCCACAACTCCAGCCCCACAGTTATAGTCTTAACAGTCTCTGTTCATTTAAGTCTTTGGCTCAGAACTTCAGAAACTTCTAAAAGAACTTAAATGTTGTGGGTTTACATTTTCTTGATCCTTGTATTCATTTTATCCTTTCTTTTGCTCCTATAGAGTCTGTCATAATGAATGGATCAAATGTGGCAAATACACCACCCAGTGTAAAATCCAAAGAGGACCAGGGACTAAATGGGCATGATGAAAAAGAAAACCCATTTGCAGAATATATGTGGATGGAGAATGAAGAGGACTTCGACAGACAGGTAAAGAAAGAAATAGAAGCTAATGATACATGAAACTCAATAGCTGTAATATTTTCTGTAAAAATAAAAATGGCTGGGTGTGGAGGAGCACACATAATCCCAATGACTCAAGGTGGCTGAAGCAGGAAGATTGAAAGTTTGAGGCCAGCCTCATCAACGTAGCAAGATCCTGTCTCAAGGGGGAAAAAGGCAGGGGATACAGTTCAGTAGAGAGCACCCCTGGGTCAAATACGCAGTACCACCAAAAAAGGGGAAGGTGTCACTGGTTCCCTTGCACACCTGTATGGAGGATTGAACCCATGAATGCTTTACTACTGAGCCACATTCCCAGCATTTTTGTTTTTTTTGAGACAGGATCTCTTTAAGTTGCCCTGGCTGGCCTTGAATTTGTGATCCTCTGCCTCAACCTCCCTAAGCAGATGGGATTACTGAGTACCTGGAATGGCAAGCTTGTACTATCCCACCCAGCTAGCTAAGGTCTTTTATCTTGAAATTAAGTGCTTATACTATGGAACAATAAGAAATAGAATGGTAATGAGCTTGCTTTTCTGTACTTTGAAGTTCATTGATTTTATTATTTTCTTATTGGAAATGTGAAATGTGCTTCATTTTGAAAATAAATGCAGACATAATAGATGTTTAAGAACTCTAAGCGAAAATAAATATATTTTCTATGGGATTTTGGAATAGTTGCATTTAGCTTTTGTGTTGACCTGTATGACTCTGCCTTTAACTAGCCTCTGACTGGAAAAAAATTTGCTGAAAGCATAAACAATTTGTCCTGGCTTTGATAATACTTGTTGACATGCTCTTAACCCTGCTGATTAGGACTGGGACTTAAGAGCCAGATGTTTACACTGTAGGCCAGATGTGGGCTTCTGTATCTAAGAATATAGCAAACTGAGGCAGGGTACTTGGAAAAGTACTGGAAACCTAGCAGCTTACAGAAACATGCACACACACCCAAAGAGGTTGAGGAAAGATAGTTTAGAAACTTTAAAAATTATAACTTGTTTCAGAACTAGGAAAGCAGTGACAGTTATATCCTGCCAGGCCCTTAGAAAGGCTAAGCAGGTAAACAATTGTTTGCTTGAATTCTCCCAACCCTAATATTTTACAGGAAATACTAGTTTTGTAACATTATTTTCCAATTGGTATGTGATGTCAAGCCAGGGGATTGAGTATTTAAGAGAAACTTGGGAACTCCTCGAGGGCAGGAAGATTTAGGATCTCAGATCTGATTGATGTAATTTCTGCTTACACCCCTATAGGGTGTTTGACCATGGTGAACTATACAGTTTTTAAGCACAGTCAAGTTGTTTTCATCTTATTCTGTTTTCTCAGATTTCTTATTGGAAAGTGCCTCACATATGCTAGAAGATATTATATCTGGGTTACCAGCTATAGAATCCAATGTCTTCTCACTTGAGGTTCAACTCAAGATTCATTGTATGCAGAACACCATACAAGCTCCCAAAACTAGGAATGAGACATTGATCTTTTGATAACTCATTGAATTTGATGCTGAAAGAATTTGAAATGTAGCTGTGAGAGGAGAAAGAATTAAGTTCCAATAAAAATAGTATCAGTCATCTTCAGAAAGTATAACTGAGAAAAGAAGGGAAGAAGTAAGATTAAACATACCAGTTTATTGTAAATGGCTTGTTTATACCCTCTGCCTGGCTTCCATGGAATTTTTAAGAAGAAAAGGCGCCTATTGTTAAGGGTTGGAGGAGGCAAAAAACCAGTTATATGTAGTGTATAAAATGTGCTTTTACTCCCTGTCTACATTGTGGAAAGAGATGAAGAATGCTTATTGAATTTTTAAATCTTATGATTCTTTTGTAGGTACATTTCTAATTATCAGGGGACTTTTTACTCTAAGCTCCTGCTGTTTTCCCATGGTGTCTAGTAAGAGTAGGATAGGTACATTCCAAAATGTCAGTAATCTCCATTCAGGTCTGAGTGTTGAATTAAGGTGCTTTTTTCTTCTTGTTTGGTATTCTTCATATTTGGTATTAAGTCTTGGTATTACTTATTTGGTATTACTTTCTCATCTGTTTTTGTTTCTTTTTTCTTTTTTTTTTTTATAAGTAGATGGACACAGTGCCTTTATTTTATTTATTTATTTTTATGTAGTACTGAGGATCAAAACCAGTGCCTCACATGTGCTAGGCAATGCTACAACCCCAGCCCTAATTTCCCAACTCTTATACAAAGAAAACAGCTTACTGCTACAATTCAGGAAATAGTTTTACATAGTAAGCCCCAGAAAGAGAAATATATGAAGTAAAATGCTTCAGAAAGGGAATATATAAAAAATGGAGCAAGAAAATTCCAGGAAATTTCAAACACAAAGTCATGTTAAATCTTGTGGCTTGGAAATATTTTGTTGTGGTTATTTTAATAACTTCATAACTATGTAATTCACTTGACATTTTTTAAAAATGTGACTAATTACAAAGTTAAAATCCTTTCCTTAAATCTTACCACCAGTGACTTGTGAGTTGTATAGGCTAATTTGAAAAATCATTTTTTGCTTGATGTTCATTCTAGTGGTGGCGCTAGTGAGCTGTGAGTTCGTCATCAGGATACAGGCGAGGAATTTGCCAGATGTGAGGCAGGAAGCCTGTTAAAGTCACTGGAAAATCTGCAGAGCTTACTATGAGTAACAGTGTTTGCAAAGAAGTGTAAAATATTCTAGATGTATTTATTGCTTTAGTTTGGGGCAGAGTTTAAGAAATATGGAGTTGTTTAAATATTCATGCATTTCTTCTTGCTTTGAGAGAATACTATATTGATGACATGGTTGGTTTTCTAGTGATATGCCACGAAGTATATTTTTTTTGAATGGGGGTACCAGGGATTGAACCCAGGGGCACTGAGCCACACCCCCAGCCCTATTTAGTATTTTATTTAGAGACAGGGTCTCACTGAGTTGCTTTGTGCCTCACCTTTGCTGAGGCTGGCTTTGAACTTGCAAAATCCTCCTGCCTCAGCCTCCTGAGTTGCTGGGATTACAGGTAAACACCACTGTACCCAGCCACAAAGTATCTTTTGTGTCTTTCTGAGGTTCTGAAATTACTTTTCTGCCTTGAGGATCTCATTACTAGAAAAGTGGGCCAGGAGCTAAGAATTAGTTTTGATTTAATCTCTACTATCCAAGTAGTACAATAATTATATACTTTCTGTATCTTTTACATATTTCCTATAAAATGGGAAATTTAAGAATTTCTTTCTTAACAAGACTGAGAAAAGAATTTTAAGCTGTAAAATGATTTTCCACAAGGCCATAGAAGTGGAAAATACCTGGTACATATTGTAGGTCTTACAAGATGTGTGAAGACCTGAAATTTTTTTTTTTTAAATATCTTTTTTGGTTGTAGGTAGACACAATACCTTTATTTTATTTATTTATTTTTGTGGTGCTGGAGATTGAACCCAGGGCCTTGTACATGCAAGAAAAGCAACTCTACCAACTGAGCTATATCCCCAGCCCAAAGACCTAAAATTTTTAATAACTATTTCTCTTTTTTATTGTTGATGAAATTCAGCTAAAAATTAAAAATCGTGTTTTTCCTAACCAATCATAACAAGCATCTTAATTCTTAAATCTCATACAAATTCATCTTAGCTTCAGAGCAATAACCTTTGAAGAGAAGGATTGGGGGCTTCCTGGTAGGGATGTGTCCCCTGAATAGGATATCTGAGGTGCTCCCTTTGCATGCCAGGTGGAGGAGGAGCTGCAGGAGCAAGACTTCTTGGACCGCTGCTTCCAGGAGATGCTGGATGAGGAAGACCAAGACTGGTTTATTCCAGCACGAGACCTGCCGCAGGCCATGGGACAGTTGCAGCAGCAGTTAAATGGACTGTCCGTCGGGGATGACCATAATTCTGAAGATATTTTGGTAAGAACCATGTGTATTTCCACACAAGATAGTAAAAAGAATGTAGAATTTGGAGTCACAGACTTTTTCTGGCCCTCAATCTTTTGCAAGTGTCTGGAGCCCTCTGAGCTGCTGTTTCTTCACCACTTAGATGGGCATTGATGAGAGGGTGCAGTGAAGACATGATGCCAACTTTCATTCCCCTGCCCTGCCAGTGGGCTTTCATAAAACTATTCAGACGAAGGATAAATTTGAATACTCAAGATCAGGTTTGGTTTCACATGATCTGTTGAGGGCCGTCTGGCTGTGACATGTCACCTCATTTATCACCAGGGTTGTTTCTGCTGATCTGACTAGATGGTGTCCCTTCCTCCTTCACTACTCTATGTGTGTCTTGCCTGAAGCTGCAAACTGAGGATGATCTTCCCCAGTAGAGGAAGCCCGTTCTCTGGTCAAGAATTTAGAGTAGCTGTGCTTCCCTGCTAGAACCTCCAAACAGGCTCTGAAATGATCACTTGCTGATATCTTCCTCTTTACTGTCGCCCAAGTCTGTATTTAATAAACCTAAGTTCTGAATGTTTGTATCATAAAAATTGCCTGTTCATTTTAGAAGGAGTATATTCCTGAGAGGTCATTTGCCACTTATAATTAGACCAGATAAATAAATGTCTTGCCTTCCATGTTTATGTAACGTCAGAATTCTGTATGCATTATGTTTTTCACCCAACTTGTGTCTCAAATGATTATGCCCTGAAGTTTGCTGAGTTTTGGGGTATTCACAACAGAGGTGTGAATATATTTATAACCAAAGAAATAAAAATGAAGAAAAGTGGAAATTATGGTAACCAAGACCGGTTTCATGGAGTTCTGATTTTCACGAAGTTGAGATACTTGTGAAATGAAAATTCTTTTTAGAGTTGAACTGAAAGGCCTCTGAGAAATTGTGAGAAGCATCAGGAAGGGAACAGAATCTCAAACAGGAAGGAGAAAATGAGCTAAGTATGGGCTAAGTATGTCAGGAGCCATTGAGAGCAGCCAAACAACAATAGAGTTACAAGGAATTTTCTTTCTTTTTGTCATAAAGGCTAAGGGGAAGGTAATGGTATTAGTGGAAGTGGAGGGGCTGAGGGTGTATCTTAGTGGTAGAACACTTCTTAGCATGAATGAGGCCCTGAGTTCAATACCTAGTACTAAAAAAAAAAAAAAAAAAAAAAAAAAAATTAAGTAGGAAGAAAATAAGTTTTAAAGTACAGCTTGCCTTAGGATTTTATTATCTCTTGTTCTTATTTCAGAGCAAAAGTAACCTGAACCCAGATGCCAAGGAGTTTATTCCAGGAGTGAAGTACTGAGCCAACAGAATCTTTGAGGAGGACTTGCCTGTCCCCACATTTGGGGATAGTGATGCACAAAAAGGCAGAGCTGTCTAGAGGCGGGTGGGGTGGGCAAGGGGAGTACAGCCGGGAAGGGGAACCTCGGTTTAACTGGATACTGTGACTCTACAAGCCTCTGAGTATTTCCTTTTGGTTCTACTGACTTTGGAGCAGTTTCCTGTTTTGTTGTTAATTAGCTCTTTTTGAATTAAGGAAATCGCATTTTATTTTTTCCTTTATCAGGAATGTTCTACTGTCTGTGTTTAAACAAAATAAGCTGACCAAGGAATATTGAGTTTTTAAGAAATACCCTTCTCATCCTGCTGTGTACCTACCAGGAGCAAGAAATACCCACAGAGCTACTTGCAAAGACTGTTGCGAAGTCTTGCTGGATGGGAAAAGGGACAAGCAGAGGAGACACATGGTGCAAACCAGAATCTGGAGCCCAGCTCTCCTGTTCCCTGGTGTTTCTGCAGTGAACTGGGAGTACCAATGGCCTGTGGAGCCATGTCTTTCTGCTCTGAACCCCATTCAAGTAAAAACAGACTTAAAGTTCTTAGTTTACAGTAACTCTTCATTCTGATGAAAGTTGTACATAGAAGGAGTGGACTATGATGGCGATTGTCACTAGAGTCCTGTGGTTGCTGTTGTCCTCTTCTTAAGCCTTTGTTTACAGCTACCATCAGTCTCATCATTCACAGGTGAAAGGGCACTCAGGGCTGATTCGCGACCTCAGCCCTCAGCTGTCTCTGCCCATAACTGCTTTCCATCCCAGCCCTACTTTGTTTTTAGGAAAAGTTATGTTACCAAAACATGTGAGAAGCCTTCTGTTTTGGCCATTAGCTCGAGTTTGGAGACTCAACCTTAAATCCTGGTTTTTGTTTACTGTAGCATCTTGGGTTGTTTGTGTCTTAAAGTTTATTCAGACAGTTTTTTAATTTTTTCTCCAGTCCCATCAACATTGTTCTCCTAGTATCTTAATTCCCTCAGAAAAGTTTATGCACCTTTTCAAGGAAGTATATTTTTCAGGACATGAGTAAGAAGCTCAGCTCACAGATTGGATGCTTCTCCTACCTTATAAAAGTATGCAGAGGAATTGAAAAATGACCTAGGAGTCCTGCTAGACCCATATGACTGTGTCCACAACCCTCCAGGATAGTTAAAGCTGTTTCACATTTTACTGTTCCCATACACCAAATCTTTTGAGTTTTCTAGGTTGACCTTTCTGGGTATGCTCCTGTTGTCTTTCCTACCTATAACTCACTGAGGGTTTTTGTTGATACATCTAAGGACTAAAGTGGGCACCAGGAGCTGCTTTTTGTGTACAGAGAACGTAGGAGGTAGTAGTGTGTGTGAAAGAGCATGTCTAGTGCTGGCTCTTCTCCCAGGATGAGTACTGACAGAGATCTGAGGATGCAGTGGATTTTGTATAACTGTTGCTTGCTGAGTGATAGGCCTATAAGGGCAAGATCACATAACTTGAAATAAAGTCGGTAGAGATTCAGTATGTGGATGTGGGACAGAGTTTGGAAGAAAAGGACTAGGTCTGGAAAGCTGAAGAAATTCTCCATTTTCTTATGAGCTCACTTGTTGACTTTTTTGGGGGGGGGGGCGGGGAGGGTGCCAGGGATCAAACCTAGGGCTTTATGCATGCTGGGCTGGCACTTTGCCATTGTGCTGTATCCCAGCCTCCCTTGTTGATTTTTTGAAGATCCACAGGCAAATGCCAGGGTTTTTTCCTCCAGTACTAAGGGGTTGAACCCAGTGGTACTCTACCACTGGGCTACCATCCCCAGTCCTTTATTTTTTATTTTGAGACAGGGTTTCTTTACTTGCTGAGGCTGGCCTTGAACTTGGAATCCTCTTTCCTCAGCCTCATAAATTGTTGGGTTTACACTAATACCAGATTTAAAATACAAACCCATATCTTTCCTCATTTAAGTTTATAGGGTGGAATCATTTGAAAAATGGTCTTTCTCACATGTCATAGGACTATGAGTAGCTTCGGGAACATGTATTGCCAAACATGCATATTCCCAAAGCTTCTACCTCAAGAGAATGAAATTGTTAATTTTATTTTAGGGAGGACTCTGAATAAAAAACCTTGTTTATTCCAGCTTTAGTTTTCAGCCAGGATGTTGCCTCTAATAAAGAGAAGGCATTGGAAGTACATAAATAGGGGAAATCTCTCTCCTGGGGCTACTGTGCTTGTTCTAGTCTCCATTAGCCCATCTAAACTCAAAAATGCTGAAGGCTGTTGGAATGTGTTGGCATTGTAGGAAGACCCTTTTTCAAGATCCTTGTATCTTCACAAAGAGGACAATGGACTCTCCTTTGGCTACCCATCAGGAAAGCTCTGTAGGGATCCAGAGTAACCATTTCTTCATCCTGAAGGTTTGTTCTTTTGATGTCAGGTAGACTGAACTACTAGGCATGGTCCAAGAGGCTCATTTTTCTTCTGCTGTGCTGGCTGTTTTGAATGTCTGTCTTCAGCACAGTGTCACAAGGTATATTGGGTCTGGACTAAGGAAACTCAACCAGATGAGTCTGGAACCTAAGGGCAGGATTTTTCAGCCCCCCTCAGATGCAGAATGTGCTGCCCTCCAGATCAGGAAGCAGCGTGCAAGGTGATCCCTTATGTAATATATAGGACTTGTGCTTCCACTGGTTCCTCCTGTGGCCCAACACTTTTTATCATTTATTTCATGTTCTCAAATGTGTTGGGGTTGTAGGAAGGGATTATCCCCTGGGCCACAGGCTCAGCCCTAATTTGCCAATTTCTTAGCAGAAAATTCATGTGGATCTTGTAGGCCCTTCCCTGGGGAAGTGCTGAGAGCCTCCATCTCAGATTTTTCCCCCAGAAGAGGTCTGAGTGCAAGCAAGGCAAAGCTTGTGTTTATGAGTGATAGTTTTGATGTTGAATTTAAGCCACTGTTGTCTTCTTACTTTTAAAATTGGCAACTAGAAGTTTGACAGTTTATAGAAATGGAGTATTTTTAACAGTTGCCAATCTGGCTGGTCCCAGTGTTAATTTATTAGATTACTGTTATTATTTATTTGACTCTAAAACTACAAGGAGATAATTCCTCTTTTTCTTCATGGGAAAAAACAATAAAGGAACATCTTTCGAGTTTCTCAAGGTATTTGAACTGCAACAGAAAATTCAAGGATATAGCCTAGACCTGGGTACATGGCAGTTCTGAGCCTCGGGCCAGTTTCTGTGTACATTAGTTTACTTTTGGGAATCATATAAGGACAGACCTGGAAAGATCATAAAGATAAGGATGGATTTTTGTAGCACCTTTAATTTGCAAAGTCAAAACAGTTGGGATGTCTTTAAATTTACCCTGCTAACAGTAGCTTACAATAAATGTTTTAGTGAAATACTAAGCATTTTCCAAATTGTTTTTTTGCTATAATGTCGAAAAGTTTTATCTTGATTTAAGAGAGGCTGAGCCATAGTGAGGTCACATGAATATGCTGGTAATTAACAGGTTAGAAAGCAAAGTTGAGAGAAGAGGTAGCCCACAGAAACAGCATTCCCACATCCACCCTCTGGTGGCTGGAAGAAGCAGGCCTTCTTCAGTGAGCAACTCAGCATTACAGGCTAATGATCTCTTGGTTTAGGTGATAACTGAGATATGAGAACTAGAGATCTGAAAATTTTTGATCAAGATTTGGAGATATTCACCCATTTGTAAAGATTGTGCATCTCCTCTAGGATACTGGCAAATGGGCAGAGAGAACAGGATTGACCCTGATTTGCTGTCTTGTGAATTTCATCCACAGACTTGGTCACAGTTTGGAAAGAGAGGTTTTAGAGTTTCTTTCTCCCTTGTTTTAATCTCCCATACTGAACATGCTACTGGTGACAGGGACAGGGGAGCAGGAAATCTACCCAAGGAAATACTCAAGTGTCTTGCATATTACTTGGCCTTCTCCTCTCACTTTCTAAACCCCCATTGCTGTTCCCAGTCAGTTTCATTTTTAGGGAAGTCATGAGAAAAAGACAGCTGGATTTACTGATCTCTGTAGGGTGTTAGCCAAGAGATTTGTACTTCCTGCTTCCAGGGGATGTGAGAGAAATCTAAAAGAACAGAGACACCATCTTTATTTGGCGGGGGGAAATTATTTTTAAAAGGCTGCTTTTGTTTTTAAGTCTCATTTGCAAAATTTGCTGAGCTTACTTACTTCCTCAAATCTACCTTCTCACTGGCTTTTTTTTTTTAAATAATAAATGTTTTAGATTATTTCTACAGAAAATTGAAATTTTTTTTTCTGTTTTATATTGCTGGGGCTCAAATTCAGGGCCTTCCTCATTGTTGGGCAAACACATACTATTAAGATAATAAAATTTAAAAACATTTTACTATTTTACAATTACTATTTTTTTCTATAAAATAGTAAAATGTTTTACTGTGTAAGTGATAATCCTGTTCTTTTGATTGTGAGCTCTTCAAAATTGTTTAATGCTTGAAGGGTAGTTGGGAGGTAGGGAGTCTTTTAAAAAAACAACTTTAATGATGCCTATTTTACATATCATAAAATTCACCCATTTCAAATGTTGTACAAGTCAGTGGTTTTAATAACTTTCCTCAGTGGTGCAGCCATAACCATTACTTGGTTCTGGAACATTTTCATCACTCCCAGTAAGATCTTCATGTTCGTTAGTTCTTGTTCCTACTCCAGGTAACCACTTCCATGTATAAATTTGCCTTTTCTTGACATTTCACATCAATGGAGTCCTGCATGTGGTCTCTGGTATCAGGCGTTTTTTCACTTAACATAATGTTTGTGAGGCTCATCCACTACATAGAACATGTTTTGGTGGCTTGTTCTTTTTACTACTGAGTAGTATCCCATTGATGGGTATGTACATTTTGTTAGCCAGACAGCCTGACGAACTTGGATTTCAGATTCCTGTGGTCTAAATGGAACTCTTTGAACATAGATATATAGGACTCATAGGTGAAGCTACTGTGCGTGTCAAAGGAATTACTTTTCAGAACCAGCTTTGTCACTAAGAAGCTCCACAGAAGGGGCCTTGAGTGCTGCAGAAATTTTTATAATTTTGCAACATTTTTTTATAAGAAACTTTTGTGCTGTCTACTACACATCGGGACTTTTGAAGCATCTAAAAAATCCATTTAATAAGTATGAGCATGTGTCTCAGTGGAGAAGAAAGTGAAACCATCTATGCTGTGCTGGATGTTTTTCCTCCTCCAGAATGGATGGGGGAATCTGTGAACTTCCTAAATAAGTAGCATGTCTCCAGTTACAAAGCTGAACGTGTATTAAAAGTTGTACTGCCTTTGTTGGACACATTAGGAGGGAGGGAGGGAGAGAGGGAGGGAGGGCTGACGGCAGAAGTAGAGAGAGTGGAGCTTGTGGAACAAGAAGCCCCAGAAGGTCAGAGGGTGTGTGTGTGGCACCCCTGTTGGTATGGATGGCAAGTAAAGTACTGATGGTACTGGGGACAGCATAGCACCCCCGGCTGGCCCAGGTTGAGACTTTGGAACTTTGTCGCTGTTTCATAAATGTTTTAAAAGCTATTGTTGCTTCCCCTCACCTTCTAAATAAACGTTACATGGCAGTTATTAATACTACTTTGGAGGAGGGATAGTGCTTTAAAATTGAAGAAAATAATTTTCATGAAAATATAAAAAATAGAAGTCACTTTTAAAAGTTTGCTATACAAACCAAATGGCAGCTGTTGAAAATCTCAATAAATGAGAATAAAGTGCATTTGCTGGCCTTAGTACTTTTTTTCCTAGGGATGGTTCACTATGTATCATAATGTAGGGGGGTATGTGTGTGGTATGTGAGTTATTTTTTTTAATGTCTAAAGACATCAGTTTCAATTGAATAATATTCCTTCCAAATGAGATTACAAAACAGTAAAAGCATGGGCTTGGATTCAGACCTGAGTGAACTCCCACCTTCACCACTTTCTTAGTGCCCTTAGGCCTGAACCTGTTTATTGGTAAAGGTATGACACCTACCCTGAGTCTATTTTGAAAATTAGAATTTTATAATATTGACTAGCACATTGAAAGCTCTTAATATTGTTGGGTGTGGATGCACACATCTATAATCCCAGGAGCTTGGGAGGCTGAGGCAGGAGGACCACAAATTCAAAGCCAGCCTCAGCAATTTAGCAAAACCCTAAGCAACTTAGAAAGACCCTGTCTCCAACAAAATACAAAAAGGTCTGGGGATGTGTCTCAGTGGTTAAGTACCCCTGGGTTCAATCCCTGATACCAAGAAAAGAAAAAAAAAAGTGAGTGAAAGCTCTTAATACATCTCAGCCAGTAGTGGCAGTAAGTACACTTTGAACAGGTGGTGAAAGGGACTTCTTGGGCTAGAAAGGAAACAAGAGTTGACTTCTGTTTGAGCCAAAGGTAACTCCTACCTTAAAAAAAGTGAAAAGATTCTGTTATCTCTCTTTCAACTACTAAACAAGTTTGAGCGCCTACTACATTCAAAGCTTCATCTTAGGCACTGGGGCTACAGGGTTAGTGGGGACGACTATTGAGATGATTGGTGTTTTGTACTTTTTTCTTTCAAAGATTAATTTAGGTGCTAAAAAGATTATGAGCCCATGGGTTTTGCTTTGAGCCCTGATTTCTTGCCAAAGCTAGGGAGAAAAATCTGAGTTGCCTTGCCTATTTATAACTTAGTTTCTAAGTTATAAGTATAGGGCTGATATATTAGATTGTAACATCTTTGAAGATGTGGATGGTATATTCATTTTTTAAATTGCACTAAACTTAATTGTAAGTGTAGTGTACTAAAGTGTGGATATATTTTACATGTACAGCTCTGAATTGTGCTAACTAAAAAATGGCCGAGTCATTTTTAGCACTCAGAGCACTTCATCACACCTGGAAGACATGAGTGTTAGCTGACTGGTCTGGATGATGAGCTGTGCTAACATCAGACAGATGAAGGCAGTGCCAGCCTTATTTAAGTCCAGTGGTCATTGCTTTCTTGCCTTGTCATGAGGCTGTTATAGGCTTGGATGCCTTGGTAGTGCAAAATCCCATGAATTGCTCCCGGTATCTTGTTGGAAGCATATGTTTAAAGGGGAGGAAACTCACACAAAAATAAGCTCCTGTACCGCAACTAGTGTAATAGTGTCTTACTAATGAGAATAAACAACCTTATCACATTTGTGTAGTTTTGTTGTTATACTAGATAAACATACTATACCACTAAGCCACATCCTCGGCTCTTTATTTTTTGAGTCTTCAAACTTGTGACCTCCTGCCTCGGCCTCCCAAGGGGATTATAGGTATGTGACCACACCCTGCTTGAAACCTTATCACATCTACTAAATGTGAATAGAATCTAGGAGCATATCTGACCTTAGGTACTTTAAGATTATCTTCATGGGGTAGAGAGACTGGAGATATAGTTCAGTGGTAAATCACTTGTTGGGCGTGTTTGAGGCCCTTGGTTCAACCCCCAGTACTTGGGGGATGGGAGAGATTTTCATTTGTTTTTTGTATAATACTGGGAATTGAATGCAGGGCACTCTACCACTGGCTTCATCCCCAGCCCTTTCCACTTTGAGACAGAGTCTTGCTAAGTTGCCGAGGTTGGTCTCCAATTTTCAATTCTCTTCTCTCAATAGGAATTGCTGGGATTACAGGTGGACACTAGTGTATCTGGCTTCATTTTTTCAACTAACATTTACTCAATAATCATGTTCTTGGACTAAGAAAGTCAAGATATGCTGCTACTCCTTTCTAAAACCTCCACTGTCCAACTGGAATTATATAGAGTCTACACAAGTAGAGTGATGGTCATATTTGAAGAACATAAGTAGGTCTCATTATTTATAAATTTTTTACCAAAACACTGCTTGAACCTAATCCTAAGAACACATTAAAACAAAACAAAAAAACAAGCCAGGTGAGTGGCACATGCCCTTAATTCCAGAGACTCGGGAAGTAGGATCACAAGTTTGAGGCCAGCCCAGCAATTTACTGAGGTCCTAAAAAACTTACTGAGACCCTGTCTCAAAAAAAGAGCTGGGGATGTGGCCCAGTGGTAAAGTGTCCCTGGGTACCAAAAAAAAAAAAAATCTGGGCATGGTGGCTCATGCCTGTAATTGCAACAGGAGGCTGAGACGGGAGAATTCCAAATTTAAGGTTAGCCTTCAGCAATTTAATGAGGCCCTGAATAATTTATCAAGACCCGGTCTTCAAAAAAAAAAAAAAAAAAAAAAAGGGCTGTGGATACAACTCAGTGAGCCTAACATGTGAGGTTCTGGATTTAGTCCCTACTACTAAAATAATAATACAATCAAGCTCACCACTCAATAACTCAGCTATTTTTAGGACTGTGGGATATAGCAAAGATACTTCTGTTATATCCTTGTTCTCTGCAGACTTTTTACAAGGTGAGGTACTAGCAATTTGCCAAGTGCTAGACCCAAAGAATTGGGTGGCAGCTGGATGTGAAGTTGTGCTCTGTCCCTTGAAGGGACTTGGCTTGAGTTCTTATTGCTCAAAGCACCAGCTTGCTACATTGGGCAAGAGAAGAGAGCTGTGGCCATTCTGTTCCACATGAATGACGTACTGTGAACAAACAGGTAAGATTTAAGATCCCCTGAGAGTGTAAATGGAACTCAGAAGCAATAAGCAAGTACAGTGCTGGACCTCTGGCAAAAACCACCCAGACAATTGAGTAGGAATGAAAATTCCTAGGTTGGCATGGTGGTATATGACCAGCTCCTTGAGAGGCTGGGGAAGGAGGAATGCTTGAGATCTTGGTTGAGGTCACTCTGGGCAACATAATGAGACTATTAAAAAAAAAAAAAATTCCTCACGCACTCATCTCTGACATATTGAGTCAGACCTCTTGAGGTAGGGGGTATGTAGGAGGAGGGAAAAAGACTGAAACCTGATTTTAAAATAAACTCTAGAACTGAGGCATGTAAGTTTGAGAACTGATATCCAGGAGGTGATCGATGTCTTCTAATAGTGTACACTCTGGACACTTGTAGAGGCAGCCACTATGGATCAAGACTGTAGCACAGGCAGCAGCACAGGAAGCTTTAGGTTTGTCTTCACTAGTCCAACTACAGAATCCAGAGGACAGGAACCATGTCTGCTCTTCACAGATGCTCATTATTCCCAGGGCCACACAACAAACAAAATGTCATGCCATAACCAGAGCCAGGCTAGTAACAGGAACAGGCAGGTAGGCTATCCCTAGTTGGCCTTCTTGGACCTCAGCAATCTTCATAAACTCAAGAATTCATTCACACAAGAAACTGAAAAATGCACTGCTTACTTACAACTACCAAATCCAGTGAGGTAAAAAATTTTTTGAACTAGAATTGTATTGTCCCTAAATCCTACTGAGAATCTCAGGAGAGGGTGTAATATGCCTGTGGTTACTTCAGGGGAAGATTACTTAGTTCCAATAGGGGTTAGGCAGGAATCATTACCTACTTTTGACAGGAGAAAACTTAAGTCACAGGTTAATGTGTATGGTAAGGCAAGGGGGATGTGTTTGAGGTGGCACAGATAAATTATCTGTCCAAGAACATGGTGAATGGATGCAGATCACAGACCAAGTCCCTGGAGGTGGGGCTTTCAACTATGGACAAAACCATTCCTAAGCCCTCTGGGACACCTGCTAGTGGTGCACTGAGGATATAACAGCAAGGGTGCTTGAACACACAATCCAATTGGGGAATGGGCAGAGTGCATTTATTTTCTTCTATATGTGTTTTTAAAAAAGAAAAGACCTCCTTTCTAGCACCCAATGTCCACTAGGCTTAGAATGGGAGGAGCTTGGACCAGTCCCCTAGGAGAAGGTGTAGGAGTAGAAGGCAATGGCATTGACGTTGTAGTCCATGGGGAGGAGATGCCCAATGTGCCTGGCCCCTAGGCTGGCCCCACCCAGGGCGGAGGAGTGCCTCAGCTTCATCAAGGTGAAGCTGGAGAAGGAGTTCTGAGCCTGGATCTCTCTACCCTGGGTCAGCGCCAAAAGGAAACCTGCAAGGAAGAATGCAAGGACAGAAATGAGAAGAGACCAGGAGGAGGGGAAGGGGGGTCAAAGATGCTAAGGTCTTTCTGTGAAGATGCTGAAGGGGCCAACAGGCCAAGTCCCCAGGACACAGTGGATCCCAGGGCACATGCAGCCAGCAGCCTCAAAGGCCTGCCCTCCTCTCAGCTCCAATGCTGGGAACTCCAATAGGGGCCCTTGAGCCCTGCAGAATATCTAATGGGAGCTGAGCAACTTCCTGAAAGGAGGCTGCCTGGAAAGAAGTTTCTTTCTTCTGGCCAGGATTAAGCTGATTAGGGATGTTACCTCGTTTATCATATGCTGGAGCTCTGATTCTGAGTTTTCACTTTAACTTTTAAAAAGAGGTTATTTAATAAATCATTGGAATATAACACGTTTTCAGGACCTCAAGGAACTGGGACTGCAGCTCAGTGGTAAAGCACATGCACAGCAAGTCTGAGGCCCGAAGTTTAATCCCCAGCATAAATATATAGTTAGTTTGTGGAAGTCGGATGGGACAGAGGCAAAGTGAAGGCTGAGGGCCTTAACCTGAGGCATCAGTGGCCTGTCTTGGCCTCAGGGCACAGGTATCAGTTTTTCCTAAAACAGGCAGCTTCCTTGGACTTCCACTCCAGACCCATTCTCTGCCTTTGCCCTTCCCTTCCCCTTGCCCCGAGACTTACCTTCCTTCAGTAGCTCCCAGCTCTTCCACACAGAGCCCACACACAGGATGGGGAGGCCAATCTTCCCTTGGAACAAGACCTGGGTAGAGGGCCAAAAATGGATGCTGTGGATTGAACAAGCATCTCTGGAGCTGCTGGGTGGTTTCCTAAGACCAACCCCAAATCCCAGACTTTCCCTCTAGTCAATAACAGAATAAGGTGAACTCAAGGAAAGAGAAACAGGAAGAGCAGGCAGGGGAGGGAAGAGAAAAGGGGCAAACAACTACAGAAATAGGAAAGAGAAAAGGAAGGGGAATGGATAGAAAGGGGACAGACAGACATTAAACCCATTTACTACATGTAAATACAGGTAGTAACACACCAGTTACAGAGGGAAGCACTTGACCATAGGATTTTCTTATGTTATAAGCAAATTTTTCTCACCTCATAACTTCATCTAAAATAGTTTCTAATTGATGCAGGGTTTGATGGGGCAGTTCCATCACCAAAAGGGAAGCAGCACCTCCACTCACCGGGTCAATCTCGGGCAGCACTGCTACGATGTGTCTGCCCAGCATTTCCCCAGCCTTCCTGAAGATGTAGCGAGAAAGGGGGTCTCCCTGCTCGGCACCTGGGATAGGAGAAGGGAAAAGGGGGTTGGTGAACACCTAGGGACAGCTTGTCCCGGTTACTCTCCCCATCACAGGGCAGCACCTCTAGCTGGCTGAAGTCTGAATTAGGACAGATGCCCCACCACTGGCATGGGGGCAAGCAAGTCTCATGGCAGCACTCTCCACTTCCCCACTGCACCTTTGAAGGGTACCCTATAGGAAATGCTTTACCAGGCACTGGGAAGGACAGCCCTCTGCCCCAAAGCACCCTACCACCAGATTACTAGTTACACTGAGTTATTTTGAGTCTATCCCTATAAATATCTCAGCTCTGGGGACCCAGGAACTCAGCTAAGAAGCTGGCTGACATCTGGTCAGTGCCCCACCCTGCTTCCAGCAGTCTACCACTGATTAGCCCCTTCCTTGTTACTGGGGAGAAGGAGCTCAGTCTAGCAGGCTCTAAAAGAGCCCAAGAGTACCCCGAGGCTATGGAATCCAAATTAACAGAGCAGAAAGCAAAATCTAAATAAGCAAGCCATATTTTGAGCTTCTGACACCCAACAAAATATGCCCAAGGTTTCCTTAATCCCCTAGTTCTTTGGATGTAACTGGTTAAAAAAAATGTTATAGATTTGTCTAAATGAAAATGGTTTCATACATTTCTCAGAAACTGGCATATAGCTTGCCAGCTGTCAAGGAGAAACACTGACAATACAAAACAACAGTCAGTACAACTATCTAGCCCTTCTGCCTCCACCCCAAGCCCTCTGCCTGCCATCACCAAGGACAGAGGTGGCAAAACAGGGAGGTCACTTGGTGAGAGGGAAATTGGTGTCTAGCCCCCATATGAGTTTCACCCCTAATTAGGCAGGTCTGAGGGAAACAAAGCCCGACAAAACCCTACCCCACCTCAGTACCTTCGGCAATTTTCCGGCAAAACCCAGCAAACCTGCTTTTGTCAAACTCCCTGTACAGGTGGGTAAGGATTCCTAGCCGATCTGGCACCTGAAAGACAAACACCACAAGACGGCTATGAGATGTAAAGAAAATCCCATTTGCCCGCCTAAGTTGCCCTTCCTAATTTATACTATTTGAAGAGCTAGAATAATTCTGGGAGCATGTTTTAGCTCTAGAAAGTATAAGGATGTGAGATTTCTCATTTGAGAAAAGTGTTTTCCTAGCATGAACTTCATTGTTACCAATTAACTTACAGGCAGTATAGAATACAGATTTGTAATCACCACAGCATGTTCTATAGTTCCTTAAAGTGCTCTTGGAAAGGTTTCTTTGGTCAAAGGAATCTAAGTAATACCATATATTGCAACTGTCCCTGGGAGAGTTACAACACACGTTAGCAGAGGCTCCAAGAGGTACTGCAAAAAAGAAATTCATCTGCTTCTCCCAAACTTATGTGACCACAGAAGGTCCTTCTTCCCCAACAAACTTGCCTACCCCTAACATCTCAAGTGATTTCCCAGACACATTTTAGTAAAGGGAAGCAGTGCTGAAATTTGAGTACCTACATATATATTTTATACACAGTCTTATTTAACCTTAGTAACAACTTCCTTTTCTTTTCTTCTTTTTTTTTTTTTTTGAATCCAGAGGCACTTAACCACAACCACTGAGCCACATCCCCAACCCTTTTTTTATTTTTTGGAACAGAATCTTGCTAAGTTGCTCAGGGCGTCACTAAGTTGCTGAGGCTGGCTTTTAACTCATGATCCTCCTGCCTCAGCCTCTTATGCCTACAAGCATGTGCCAGAGCTCACAGCAAACCTTGGTAACAACTTTCTAAGAATGACCGAAAAAATATAAGAGGGAGCAGCAGACGTGCTGGTGGAGTGGAGACACAATCGACTGGGTGAGACAACTAAACTGCTAAGGAGGTGTTTTCTCCTGGTCCCTCCCTATTCCTCACTGTGGCACAGGACAGGGTTACTCTTTAATCACCAATCCCTCAGCCTTAAGAAGACATGCCCTACCTTCCAATATCTCTAATCGCCTTCCTCAGCTTTAGGTCCAGCTTGCCTAAGTGACCCCCAAAAGACAGACTGGCCCTCATGCAGATAGATGAGATATTAAATAAATTTGTCTTCCTTCTCCTCTTCCTTCCACATCCTCCCACCTTTCATCTCTGGCTCCATTAAAGGCAGTTGTTTCTCTCAACCCACAACTGAGCCCAGCATAGATGAGGAGTCAGTCCCCAGTGTGCTGGGTAGGTGGCTGTGCCTCCCTCTGAAATTCCTCTGCTCCCTTCTTAATAGGCTTTCCTGACCCATAAAGGCCAGAGAGCAGATCAGCATTCAAGGATCTTGCTCAGACTCTACCTGCTATTTCTCCTTCCTGACCTCACTTGCAATTTTCATGTTAGCCTAGAAAGCTGTTTCAGTGGGTTTTAGCTGCCCAAGAATGAAGCCTGGCTAACCACTTGTTCTCAAACCACAGCTTTCTCATGATACCTTTGGAATGCACTGTCTTCAGCATTCTAAATTCTGTTCTTACCTATACTTCACCTTGCAGCTCTGACCCACTTTGGCCCACCCAATCCCTCTCCTGCAACTGCTCTGTCTCAGAGTCCCCCACTGCCCTACCCTAGGTGGACACATTCACTGGGGCCAGGGAAGTACCTGGAAATAGTTGAACATGGCCTGCTTGACATAACCAATATCATGAGGAGCCGCCTCTAGGTTGTCGATGGAGTCAAACACTATTTTCACTGCTTGGTGTGCAATCCAGTAGGCTGCAGAGAGCAGAGAGTGCTAAGAAGATGGGCAATCTCTTGGAGCTCACCAGGAAGGAAACTCAGACCCAGACAGGGTTAGTGATCTGCTTGGGTTTTATAGAAAATTACATTTCCTGATTCCTGGGGGTGGGGATGCTGGGGAGAAGGAGGTGCTTTGAATGAAATTGTATCTGACTGACCCAGAAAAAAGCAAGCTGGAGCTGGAAGACAGAACAGGTGAATCTGTATCACAGCATCTCCTACACAAAGACAGGGTCAATCAGATCTCACAATTGTGCCAGAGTCACAACTCAAGCTGGGCCCCAAGGACCCCTGAGAAAATGTACACATGCTACCCGTAAAGAGGCCATGGTGGGAGGAGTTTCTATCTCTATCCCAGAAGCGGACTGGTATGGCATCTATGATCTTTCATAATCTCAATTCTTCCCTAAGGTCTCCAAAAGTCAACACAGGTAGGCCACAGCCATTGTGCTGAGATGTGAATCTGAACCCTGGAGCAAAATCACTATTGAAGAGCAATGTCAGCAGTTAGTCCAGCAATTGCAACTCTATGATCTGTCAGCCATTACCCTGCACTTGGAATGGCTATCCCCAGAAAAACCCCAGGGATTAGTAGGCCAAGAGCAGGGGAGAAGATGGGGAGCTGCAGGAAGGAAAGGGTCCAGGTCCAGTGTGAGCTCACCTGAGCCCTCGTCTCCTATCATGTGGCCCCAGCCGCCGCAGCCACTCTCAGAGCCATCAGGGTTGATGAGCCTGCAGTTGGAGCCTGTCCCAGAGATGAGCACGATCCCACCTGGGGAAGGGGCAGGGAAGGCTCAGTGTGGCCAAGGCTCTGTACAGAGCAACAGCTTCCAACTGTGGAAGAAGATAGGACAGAAACTACACATATCCCAGGCAAAAGGGTTACCACCCAGTCCTACAGGGGAGAAAACTGAGCCCAGTAGGTTTCCTGCCTAAAGGGGAGGGCCTGGGCCTCGGAGAAACTGCAATCATAGAGCCTGTCTCTAGGGACTGAGGAACATGGTCTACATCTCCTTAAGGGAATGTGGCTCCTTGCCAAGCCAGTCTTCAGGTGAGTCTACCTGCTTTACTGAGTTCCTACTATGTGCCATAGATTGTGCTAGACATTGTTCTTATAGTAATATTTAGTTAGCACCTTATAAATATAAAAGTTACAAATATAAAAGTTCCATGACTTCTCCAGGATGGTAGAGCTAGCAAATGCCAATTCTGTGATCTAGCACTACAAAATCACAGAGCTCCCCAACTTTCTTCTCTGTGCTCTAGGATACCCTCAGCCTGCTTCTCACTGGCTGCCACCAAGGGTTCCCTCCTTTGCAATGAAGTCTTATGTTTGATTTGCTTACCATCATGATTACATTTCTTGCCCACTTTACTTCTATCTTCCAAGTTTTGCTTTGGCAGAGGCTTAAACTGATCATGAAAGGATTTGGGTGAAGAGCAGTGACACAGAGACTTCTTTCCAGATACTGCAATACTAGTTTTGCCAGCTACCTCTAAGGGGCTTTCCCAAGAAAAAAACAGTTCTCAACCTCACCCCTCCATCCACCTCCTCACCATCTGGCGTAGCTGTAGCGATGGAGCCTGCAGCATCCGTGGTGATAAAGTAGTTCTCACTCAGGTAGGGAAATCGGTCCCTTAGCTCCTCCGTCAGCATCCTCAGTGCATCCTCCTGCTCCCCACCACTCAAGGATAGGCCCTGGGCCACATGGGAGATGAGCAAGCAAGCAGAGCTCCAGACACAGTGCCTTTCTCATCCCGACCCTCCTGATGCCTGCCTCCTGCTCTCTATGTCTGGCTATACCCTGCTCATCCAGCCTCAGTCCCTCCATCCCACACCACCACCCCTCAGAAGGCCCTGGCTCCAAGAACAGCCCAGACTGCGGATGAACAGAGGAAAGAGGAATTTAACAATGCTATGTTTAGAGCTTAGAAAATGCTCTTAGAAAAATCAGGCAGAGAAACAAGGTAAGGGGTGATGGTTTGGCTGTGTCCAAACAACATCTCACTTATGTGTACAAGGAGTAGCCAGAGCTGCATCAACTTGGGAGGAAGATCTAAGCTGAGAGTAAGAATAGCTTACACATAATGAGTGCATATGGGTCAGTTCTGTGTTAACCCTTTTGGGATGTATCACTGTACTTTTCCCAATAACTCTAGCTACTGCTAGCAATGTTTTCCAAGTGAGGAAACGGGCTGAGAAAGTAAGACCCACTTCTTAAGGATCAAACAGATACTGAGTGGTAAAGCTGGGATTTAAACCAAGGTTTCAGTGGCTCTCCCCAATCCTTCTCTTTCAATATACTTGTGGTTGAAGGTGGCAGCTGAAACCATGAGAATGGGTAAGATCACGAGTTTCAACACCAGGGACTAGACCTTGGAGGCCTTCTCATCCATGGTCATCAAGTTCATCCAGTCTAAACTTGCTATCTGTCTTAGTGTTCCTGTTGGCTTAATTCCAAGGCTCTACCCCAGACTCACCAAGCTTCGCAGAGGTACCAGAGGATCCACCCCTGCTTTCTGTTTGGCCCTGTTCACCATCTCGTTGATCCTCTCCACACATTTTTCTGTCCCGATTAGCTGGCCCAATCAAGGGAAGAGGAGTTACAAAGGCTTGCAGGACCTATGTCATCCCTATCAGTTGCTCTATGAATCCCAGACACCACCTCAGTTGGAATTAGAGAATAAAATAAGAACCAAGCCCTCTGGTCCCCTCAGTGTGGCTTTTTACCCAGTGGTTTGTGCTCAGTCCATCTGCTTCTGCCAGGATCTGCCCATCCTCGGAAAGTAAAAGGACCTTGGACCGTGTGCCTCCCCTACAGAACACAAGAGGGCACTTAGTTCTGCTTAGAAAAAACCTGCAGTAGAGCTAAGCCAGTGCAGTCCCTGTTGCAGGCAAAGCCCAGTGTGATAGAGATAGCTTCAGTAATCCCAATCACCACTCTCAAACCCACCTCTGTGGTTTGGTGTTTGTCTTGAAACTGAAACACAGTTCTCCCTCAGCTTCCCTTTGAATATCCATCATCTGGGCCTTGAAATTTTCTGATGTGTGGCCCACCCCACTTAGTTAAGGCTATGTTAGTTAAACCCTCACAGTGTCCCCATAACTATTAAAATGTTCCTCTGCATCAAGCATGTGTTCAGTTGCTTGTGACTACTTCTAAATAGATTTAACAGCTCCACTGGCCCAAGCTCTGGATCATTTATCTAGCCTCATAACTAGCACACAGCTTGGCACAGACAACATTTGGTTAACAAAAAAAAAAAAAAAAAAAAGCTAAAGAAATGTGCACATCTCTCTGTTCCTCTCATAACTACTAAAGGCTGCCTTTCAAGACCCAGCTCCAGGGCTGGGGATGTGGCTCAAGCGGTAGCGCGCTCGCCTGGCATCCGTGTGGCCTGGGTTCGATCCTCAGCACCACATACCAACAAAAATGTTGTGTCCGCCGAGAACTAAAAAATAAATATTAAAAATTCTCTCTCTCTCTCCTCTCTCACTCTCTTTAAAAAAAAAAAAAAGACCCAGCTCCACCTGCCAAGGTCTTCAAGACATCTTTATAAGAAATGCTCACCAGATGGCAGGGAGAATTTACATACAATCAATTAAACCCTCTAATGCTGATTACTGGGGAAAATGGTAGTTTAGAGGCAGATCTGTGGTGATGGGATGTGTGTTTCCTTATGGATCAGTACTTTTAGGAATGTCTTAGGAGAGGACACTGAAGACCTTCTCATCGGATTCAAAGAAGACACGAGGTTTCAAACAGTAGGCAATGCATGTGGAGTGGTAGATTCAACATCCAAAACAATCTCTTGACAAACTGAAAAAAATGGGTTATAGCTTATAGATGAATGTTACAGGGATGAATGCAAACTGCTACACTGACTGAGGTTTTTAAAAAAAAAGTGCTACAAATACAGGATGGTACAGGATGGGGGAGATCAACCTTCACAATTCATGTGAAAAGACTTTTGGGTAAGTCAGCAGTGAGATATGGCATGCACTGAAGTGAATTCAATCAGATTCAAAAGCTCTGAAACAAGTCACCTTCTATTATATCCTGAGTCAACACATTCAGATTCACATAATCTTGTCACTGGCAGGAAATTTGGTAATCAATCATCTGGTTCCTTTTTGTCCTCAGTAACTGAAGCTCAGAGAGGGCAGAGGTATTACCCAAAGTTATACCCAGGGCAGAGCTACTACAGAAAGTCCTACAGACAAGATTCTTAGCAGAAAAATAGAGTAACAGAAGATTCAAACCAGCATGAGGTGCCTGTGGTGCCAAGAGAAATGAAAGCTTTGGGGCATGGGCACCAGAACATGTGAACACTGTGTCCGCAACTGTTCCAGCTCCCAGATACCCTCGGGCAAAGATCTTTGTCCCAGCTTCCACTCACTCCAGCTTGCTATCTCCAACCCAGAAACTTCACACCTGACACCTGTTCTGCAAAAACTCCTTCTGGATCTGGGAATGAGGAAAAAGCTGCTTTCCCAGAGGGAATACGCCGAGTGGGCTGTCCAGTGAGTTGTCTGTGGACGAAAGGGGCGTGGTTCCGCTGTAAAATACAAAGGACCCCCTGGGGTGTGGCCTTGGCACTCACCGAGACCCTGCAAGGGACAACGCCTCGCACTTAAGATTGGCCCTGCACGTGACACACCCTTTCTCCGTAAGGCCCTGCAACCCAGAAGCCCACAGTGGCCGGATCCTGAGGTGCGAGGCTACCTGCACACCCTGCTGGCCACGACCTTCCGCCCCGCCCTCCAGCCTGGAATGTCCGAGGCCGCCCCTCCCGTGCTCCCGGCGTCGGGCCGCACTCACCCCTCTACACCCCCATAGAGAGCGGCCATGCTGCTGCTACCGCCGCCGCTGGTCCCGCCGATTGCTCCCCCTCCCTCCTTCATCTTCCCTCCCTCCCTCCTGCTCGGCGCCGCCCCGCGTCACGTATTCGTCTGCGCAGTCTAGCTGGCTCGCGGGGCGCGCGAGGGGGCGTGGCTCTGGGAACCGCCCCTGGTCCCTGGTTGGCCCGGGCAGGGCAACTCCTCGGACTGGGCTTCTGTGCTCCTCAGCGACTCTTCCCGGTCCCGGCCGGGCCTCCCTCCTCCCGGACCCTGCTTCCGAGGATGGGTACTGGATCCCCAGTGCTGGAGTCAGAAAGTGGCGTCGCGAATTGGCCCCACTCGTCACTCCCCTCCCCGGCCCTGGACGTCCGGAAGTTGCTGGCAGCTCCGCGTTGCGCGTGCGCAATGCTCCCGTCGGCTGTGTGCAGGGTTACGCTGACGGTGACGCACACACACGGCAGGGCTCCGGGAGCTCCGCGCACAAACCTGGGGTCCCGGGGCGTCCTAAGGAAATTAATGTGGGACCCTGGCGATGGCGAAAATCACACGCGTGCACAAAACACCTGCGCAGATCTTCAGCTGCGCTTGTGTGAATATTCGAAACCAGGAGGAAGTAGAAGCCTTTTGCAAAACAAGAAAAACCCTCCAGGCTGTCCTGAGAAGGAAACAGTCAGCTCTTACTGCCGACCTAATTTAGTTATCCGTGGAGGGTATTTACGAGGACGCAGAAGAGCAGATAAAGTTTTAAAGGCCTTTTATTACTTTCCATCCACCACTCCGCACCGGTTCTCCCACAGCGTCAGGAAAAGGACTGGTAGCCCGAAGGAGGAAGTGTTGGCCAGGTCTGAGAGAGAAGCTGGCCACTGCCGGGCCCTTTGGGCTCCTAAGAGTGGTTCTGTGTCCCCGACGCCCAACTCTGTCTTCCAGTAGGGCACCCCTTAGCACAGTCTCTTCGGGAACATCAGTCTAGGAATGGGTACTTCTTAAGGCACAATTCTAGAGCTAGCCTATCCCTGTCCAGCCCCTGACCTTTACGTGCTTGCCATCTTTGTAATCTTGAACAGGACTCTCTACCTGATAGCCAGATGGCTGAGTCTGGTTATCCTTTGACATGAATATTTGGCATATTTGTGCTTTATAAACTGGAAGAGAAGAATCTTCATTTCCTACATTCAGGATGCTGAAGAACTAAGTAACGAATAAAAAGTAAATCACTACATGATAGAGAATATAAAGGTTTTAAAATTCTTGCCCTGTGACATTTTCATTCGTAGCTGCGAAGTATTTAATCCAGCACACACATTTTTAGAATAACAGCTAATAGATTCTGGTGAGTTTCAAACTGGGCAGGAGTTTGAGCAGAGACACGACGCAAAATTGTTGGTGAATTTTGAAAAAATATTTTTTTTCTAATATTGCGTGGTGGTGCATACTTGTAATCCCAGTGATTTGGGAGGCTGAGATAGGAGGATTGCAAATTTGAGGACAACCTTAGTAATTTAATGAGACTATCAGCAACTTAATGAGACACTGACTCAAAAGAAAAAATAAAAGAGGCCTGGGAATATAACTCAGTGGTAAAGTACCCCTGTATTCAATTCCGCATACAAAAAAAAAGAAAAATGGATTCCTTTTCTGTACCATTGCAATGAGTCTTGGAACCTACATTTGTGATAATATTCCAATTTGCTCTTGGTTTGCTTGTTTAGAAAAGAAAGCAAAGAGGAAAGTGCCCAGGTTTGAAGACAAGGATTGAGTTCATCATTTAGTAGCTGGATGTTTGAAAGAATTACACATAATTTTCTGCTGCTTCTCATATATACAGAATGAAAATGGTAAACCTACACCTACCCTGGATACGTGAGGTTTAAATGTCAAAAACTTTTTGGAAAACACTAAAGTGTTGCACAGATCTTTTTTTTTTTTTTTTTTTTTTAATGTGGTGTTGAGGCTCGAACCCAGTGTCTCACACATGCCAGCCAGGCGAGAGCACTACCACTTGATCTTAACATTTATATTTATATTTGTTGCCCTACACAGTATCCATGTGACTGTTGATCACTGGAATTGTGGCTAGTCCAAAATGGGATATGTTGTCAGTATAAAATACACACATGATCAAACAGTCAAAGGGGAATGTAAAAATATCTCACAAATCATTTCTATGTGAATTACATATCAAAATGATAACATTTTGGATATAGTAGGTTAAATCTTTATATTATTCAAATTTGTCAGTGTCTTTATCTTTTTAAATACGGGTTGAGAATTTTAAATTACATGTGTGGCTCATATTTATAGCGTGCAGTGCATTCTGTTATGCAACTGTGTTATATGTCTTGTGTCCTATCCATCCAGACCAGAGTATTTCAACCTCTCCTGGTTGGGCATGATGGCAGGAGATCACACAAGTTCAAAGTCACTGACTGCTTGTTTCTGAAATAAGTATTGGTCATGTGATTGGTTTGAAGAAAGTAGCATTTAATAAAAGACTAATAATGCTATACATTTGTGTTGCACATTATAATCCTTAAAGTTCTTTATATACCTTAATTTGTTTTCATCCTAAAATTTTATGACAAGGAAGAGATTTCCAGCCACACGTTATCAGTGAAAACTGAGGCTCTGAAATCAAATTAGCCTAAACTTACAAAAATAATAGTATTTATTATGGGTGTGGTTAGTTACTATAACAAGAAAGAAATAAAGGTGTTGCAGTACAGGAAGGTGTTCATTAACTCTAAATAGCTTTATAAAAGCTTAAAGCTCCTTTGCACTGGGCTTGCAGCATCCCAGCAGTGGCTCCTATGATACTCACGAGGTCGGTAATTTCCTTTAGACATCCGTAAGCCACAGTCTTGTTCTCTATCTTCCCTACTTTGTCCGTGTGATGCTAGAAGACCATAGTTTCAGGGGAGGCAGGTCAGAGGTGTTAAGAAGGACAGTGGAAACATATCTTTCATGCCAAATCCACTTATTTTGGAACAGAGGACTTTTAGCCCCAAAGGTCTTAACAGATCCTTCTGACAGCTCATGAAACACTTCTCTTTGCTCAACACTGTATTTCCAGGGCTAACCTCTGGTACCTTGCACATGACAGGAGCTCCAAAAATTGTTTCAAGAATGCTGGTAGATGATATGTAAGCTATCACATATGTTGGCATACAATTATAATATGACCTTAATATATTTTTAGCATCTGTAGTGTTATTTTGATAGCTCCTTTTCCATTGATATTAATTTTTATGTTCTTGCTTTTTTCTTGAATAGACTTGCTTATTTTTTTATCAAATTTTAGCTGTATTATTTTTTTTCTATTTCATATATTTCTGGTCTTACTCTTTTTTTTTCTTCCCACTATATAATTTGAAAATCACTTATTGTTATTCTAGCTTCTTTCTAATAAAGTACTTTAAGTTATAGATGTTCATCTGAGTACTGCTTCATCCCAGAGATCCTGATATTTTAAGCTTTTATTATCACTTAGTTCAAAGCACTTTTTATTTACTTTTATTGTGATTTCTTCCTTGACCTTGAGCTATTTATAAGTGTGCCATTTAGTTTTGAAATAGGGCTGGGGGTATAACTTGGTTGGTAGAATACTTGCCTCACATGCACAAGGCCTTAGGTTCAATCCCCAGTACCACACACACACAGAAAATTGAAATAGCTTACATGTGGGGGTAGGAGTCTAAATATTTTAAGGTAATTTATTTCTAATGTAATAAATAAGGCAGGGGAAAAAAGAATGCTGGTAAACTATAAAGTACTGTGCCATAAACATGTGGTATAGTAAATGCCCTACTATGAACTGAAGGAAAGAACAAGCAAGTTCCATGGCACAATTTGCAGAACACTAGGGAGAGAAAGACATTGAAAAAAATAAGGAGAAGTGAAATTGTGAACTAAGGAAGCAAGAATTGGTCATGTGGTCATGATGTTGGAGCATGATGTTGGAGATGAGAACTGCTGACCCAGTAACAATAGAAATGAAACTGAATCAGTCGGGAATATGAATACATAGGCAAAATTCGTTGTGGGGGGGGCCGTACCTCAAAGGGAGAGAGCACTGGGGGGGTGGGTAATCAGGAAGGACAGACCTTCCTTTTATTGGGTTGCTGGGGGTGAGTTGTCTGTGGCTCCAGAGAAAGGAGAAATCCTTATCATTTGAGGGAGCAATCTCCGTTTGTTTTGCAGGATGATTAACAGACCTGTGAACCTGGAAAGGGGCAATTTGGTTCCCATGAGATGACTGTTTCTGCTTACTATCATTCTTCTAATGGGGTGAACTCTTTGCAAGGCTCCACTGTTCCTGGAAGGTTTACGACACTGTCTGAAGACTTCCAGGAGCTGCTGCAGAAGGAAGTTGTAAAAGTGAGTAGTAGAATGTCCCTGCAAATCTCAAAAATACCCACTTACTGTTATCTTGGTGTCTTCAGCCTTGAAGCAGGCAATTACCAGCTTTAAATGAACCCTCCTTAAATGCTTACCACGCCTGTGTACAAAGGTGAGCAGAAATCTGACCTACAGTTTAAGGTAATAAAGGAGTTAGATACAAAATGAAGGCAGAGATGCCAAGCTTGATCCTTTTTTAGTTACCCATCAGTCATCAGCAGGTCCAAGTGAAGTCAGTGCTTATTAGCAAAGGCTGCCTCTCTAAGTCCCTGTTATAATTGAGGGCTCAGACTCATTCCGTTTTTGTAATACTTTTAATGAGCAGTAGATCATGAGTTAAGGCCTTGGGAGTACATCTGCCTTTTGTCCCTCTGGTGGTCCCTAACTGTCTTAATCAGGGACGCCTCAATGGGATCTAGCCCTAAGAGTTGCCAATACATATGTGACCTCAGCACTGTGCTGATTTACTGGCAGATTCCTTATAATGGGCCAAACGGGAGCAGAGAGTTTGGAGCGTGGAGACAGATACTTAGAAGGCTAAGCAATGGCCTGGGCAAGAGATAAACAGGGAAGTGATAAGGGCGTAAGGAAAGCAGGAACCACAGGGAGGGATCTGAGTGGAATTATACTGACATCTCCTGCTTCTGACCCAGGACAAGGAAGGGAAGAAAGGTTGGATTTCACTATCTCACAAGGAAAGAGAGTGGAGGAAGGAGCCTCTGGGGAAGTAAGGAAGGGTTCTTCTAGGCCAATCCAGGTGGGGAGGGCATATGTGGTCCCCAGAGTGCAGAAGCATGTGTAACTAAATGGCATAAACATTCTTCCCCTCAAGGTTCCTCAACCATTGAAGGAAGAGAAGGGAAGGAAGGGCTTTACCTGCCTCTATCTGAAGTGGTTCTGAAGGGTGTGGAACCTCAGACTGGGGCAGCAACCTGAGCACATCACGCTGATCTATTCCTTCTTCCTTCCTGGGTATGTGGGTGTCTGCATAGGATTTTATGTGCATGCCTCAGCCTGTGTGAATCTATAGGTCGACAGGCACATATTTACTTAAATATTTGTACTTGTCTTTGTATATGTTGTAAATGACTGAGTCTGCAGACGCGTGTATTTGAGATAACATCTATGTATTTTTCTACAGGATTAGAATTAGCATTTCCATCCTCCAGGAAACCTGAGCAATCCTACACATCTAGGCACCTTTGGGCAGATGCATCAATGTGCAAATGTGACTTGTGTCAGAGCTCTGGTGTTGCACCGGAGCACGCTCACACCAACTCACAAAGACCTAGTTTTGTGTACATCTCTCTAACTCCATTAAGAGATATGTCTGTAGCTTGAAATCACCATTGTGGGAATGTCTATACCACAGAAATCAATAGCTGCTACAAATCAGGTTATTGGCTATGACTGTTTTCAAGAACCACCTGTTGAACATTTACCAGCATACCACTGGGTACAGGTTTTATGCGCATGAGAATGTCAGTGATCTATACCTGTGTCTATCTGTGTATAAGTACAGTTATAAAAGTGCCTACCTGGTAGTGAGTTCAATTTTTTAGAGTCTACAAATTCAGGGATACAAAAATGTAACTATTTTCCTATAATAAACTTGATTTCTGTCTTAATTCTCCATTTCCCCCTAATAGTGGAAAGCTTAATCTCATCATTTACAGCCATTTCACTCACAACTAAGATCCAACACCTCTCTTTCTCCTCTTGGGTCCCCTGGGTGCCATGTGAAGTTCAGGGTTAAACAGTACCATAGCTCCTACAGGCATTGGCTGATATGTGCTCTTTTCCCATCAGGTCTTTGGTCATTGGTGTCCAGATTCTGGTGTCTGAGGTTCCTTAGGCCGCATGAGTTCAGTTGTTCTGTCTGCACTGACCTCCACTCACTGGCCTGTCCCATTCCTTTGTCAGGATTCAGCTCCCTGGTTCCTAGTTGTAGTGCTAAATATGGAGGTCTCTGAGCCATGAACACTATGTGTCCCAGGAAAGGGAGTGAAGATCTCAGGGAAGTGAGGTGGACTCCCCTAGAACAGATCTCTTCTGAAAGAGGTCTCAAGGAGGGAGAGGGCAAAGGGAGGCTATTTCTCCCATGCTTTTGCTTGTCCATTAACACATGTGAGGAACCCATGGTCCTACTTTTATAAAAATTGACTTTCTTTCCTTTCTTTTTTTCCTTCCTCCCTTCCTTTCTTGTTGGTGGTGTTGGAAATGGAACTCAAGGCCTCATACATGCTGGGTAAGCACTCTACTACTGAGCCACACCCCCAGCCCTTGAGTTTCTTTTTTGTTTGTTCTTTAATATGGGGTCTCCCTGGGATCAAGGTATCCTCCCACTGCAGCCTCCTGAGTAGTAGGACTGCAGGTAGGTACCATGGCACCCAGTCTATATTTCTTTTTTTTAAGTAAATAATTGTAATTTTATTAAGACAATTATAGAGTCACAAGCAGTTGTGAGAGATATCAGAGATTTCTGTTTTTCCCATGGTAAAATCTTGTACAACTATAGTACAAAACCTCAACCCAGATGTTGACATAGATACATAACCCATCAATCTTTCAGATTTCTCCATTCTTGTCTGTATCCATTTCTATAATTGTGAATTTGGGTGCTTAATTCTATGCAGTTTTATCACATGTAGGTTTGTGTGTCCACTACCACAGTCAATGCGCAGAGTAATCCGATCTCCAGCAGGACCGCTCCAGCTGTCCTCTTATACTCAACACTCCTCCCTTCCCTCCCTTCCTGCCAACCACTAATTTGTTCTCCAGTTTCAAATTTTTGTCATTTCAAGAATGTTTAGAAATTGCCATGTGTGGTGACATACACCTGGGACTCCCAGCAACTCCAGAGGCTGAGGCAGGAGGATTACAAGTTCAAAGCCAGCCTCAGCAACTTAGTGAGACCCTGTCTCTAAATAACATATTTTTAAAAAGGTCTGGGGATGTGGCTCAGTGGTTGAACACCACTGGGTTCAACACACACACACACAGTTTAGAAATGTGGACTTTTTTCACCCAGCATAATTCCCTGGAGATTCATCAATATGATTGCATGTCTCTGAAGTCATTCCTTTTAATTACTGGGTAGTATTCCATGATATAGATGAAGTATCTTTTTTAACAAAAATCTGTACACTGTATATAAAGGTCATAAAGTTGTGGTTCTTTGTCTGTGGGCCTTGAGCCTCACAGAAGAATCTGGAAAATGAGGATAAAGCCTATGTTTGGCATCAACTCTGAAGAGCATCTGTCATTTCCTGCTGGTTAGGGTAATTAGCTGGGATTGCACGCATTATCATGTTTTTAGGTTTCATAAAATTGTCTTCCAATAATTTAGGAGGGCAGGAATTATATGCTACTGCAAATAATAGAATGAGATATTACTACACAGAACAGTTCAAGAGTGTTTCCCAAATAGTGTTCCCTTGGGAGATAATTGGTAGTTTCACAGCAATGGTTCTTATGATCCCGGGGGGACACTGAAAATCCATCTGCCCTACACTTATCTTAAAGAATCATGATGCCCATCAGAGGGTTAAGGCTCAGAAAAACTCCCAAAGGAGAGAACCCCATTCCTGTTCTATTTTGTTTATTGACTAGAGAAGCAAGGTTGTGAGTCAAGAGGGTCTTGTCTCTCAGGGAAGTTTCCAACAACACCACTACCACCCCAGCCAAATATATATCACAGACTCTCTAAATTCCAGTTTGGAAAACTCTGGGAGAAATAGATCGATGGTATCCCCAAGTTTATGGCCCTGAAGGCTCTATACCCAACTCAATGATCCCTTGGGCAGATTTCAAGGAAATCCAAATAGAAGTAGAATTTTTATTCTTTTTCAATTTATCTATCTACTTATCTATCTCTTTTTGTACTGGGAATTGAATCCAGGGGTGTTTAACTACTGAGCAACATTCCCAGCCTTTTTTAAAAAATATATTTTAGTTGTCAATGGACCTTTATTTTATTTATTTATATGCGGTATTGAGAATAGAACCCAGTGCTTCATACATGCTAGGCAAGTGCTCTACCACTGAGCCACAACCCCCTCCTCATCCCTAGCCTTTTTATTTTTTTATGTTCAGGTAGTGTCTCACTAAGTTTCTGAGGCTGGCCTTGAACTTGCAATCCTCTTGCCTCAGCCTCCAGAGTCACTAGGATTACAGGTGTGAATCAGTACACCAGACCTCTCTTTTTTTTCTTTAATAATCCATTGATTTATAAATGGCTGAATCCTACTCAAAGGCCATAAAACTTTTTAACTCCCCAGAAGCCTCACACTTAGCTCTAGGAGTGTACTTTTGTTTCCTTCTGGGCTGAACCACCTGAAGCAAGGGATCCATACCCTCGAGGCAGCTTGTCCCTGCTGGACCCAAGCTGAGCCCTGTCAGGGAGTAGAATGAGGCTGGCGCCCCTCCACTCCTTCCTCTTAATTTCTTCCCTGGAGCAGCCAGGATTCTGTTTGGCATCAACACAGGTGCTGTTTCTGCAAGGCCTTGGCCTGCCCCATCCCTTTCTGGCCCTTAAGCAGGAAAAGCCAAGTAGCTTTCAGCTCTCCAGATCCAGAGCAAGGGCTAGATCAGACCCGGGAATATCACTCAACAGCTTCTGTGTGCCCTCCCCAGCAGACAAGAAGGGAGGCCATTGGAGTTGTTGATTTGATGAAGTGCTTTTTGCAGTCATGACCTGCCCCACAAGCTGGAGCACCAGAGGAGGAAAAGCAGGAGAGACACACCACAGCCCAGATCTGCCCTAAGCTCTGCAGTCCCCTGATCAGGGCACACGGAGCAAAGATGTAACCACAGGATGCAACGTCAGGCAAGACAGCAGTAGGGGAGACTTTGTGGAGGAGGCAGGATTTGAGAATTGTTTGAATACTGGGATGTATTTATTCTAGTACCAAACCAGGAGAAGATTAGGGCATGGTGGTGCATGCCTGTAATCCCAGCAGCTCCGGAGGCTGAGACAGGAGGATGGTGAGTTCAAAGCCAGCCTCAGCAAAAGTGAAGTGCTAAGTAACTTAGTGTGATCCTGTCTCTAAATAAAATACAAAATAGGGCTGGGGATGTGGCTCAGTGGTTGAGTGTCACTGAGTACTACCACCACCAACAATTAAAAAAAAATATGCCTGGGCCCTGATAAAATTGTTAAGGGGTACACCTTGGGGATCTGAAAAATAGGGAGTGGAGTGAGCCTCCCCCTGTATCAAGTAAGGCCTTAAGCTTTCTCACATCCCAGGCACTGTCCACTCTCAACTCCTACTGGGAGGAAAGTCAGATAAGCCAGCACCCACTGAGGGTCAGAGCCTTGGCTGAGGAATAACCACACTGAGATCCCCAGAGCCCTAACATCCCAGAGGTGGGTGTGATGGTGGGTGTGATGGTGGGTGAGGGCAGCTGCTTCTACTCTGAAAATAGTTTGCTGAAAATACCTTGACATAGAGGTCAGGGGCACAACAGCATCACGTGCAGGACCTGACAGATGGATATAATGGAGGTGAGAATTGATTATAAGATTCCAATTAATGGTGTTCCCTCTTCCTACCCTCCAGGACCCTGTCTTTTCCTCTTGTCCCCAAGTAGGGGATGTGCACTTTAAGAGAAACCCTGAAAGTGAGCAAGGATGGACTGGAGTGTGGTCCCTATAGTAGTGGAATCTCAGGTGCTGAGTCAGATGACAAATAGACACCTGGCTTGGACTCTCTCTCTTACCCTAAGACAACTGCCCACTCCACTGGGTTATTTCTGCTATCTCTCAAGAGTGAATAGGGTAGGGGCCAGCCACCATCAGAGAAGCTAGCTGGCCAGGCCGGTCCCACGTGGCTGGGCATGTGCGGTTCAATGGCCTGCTGAGGCCTAAGCAGAAGGGACAGCCGCGCCTTTCCTGAGACAAGTGGGAAGAAGGTATCAGCCATGGCTGACCGAGCGGTGACCCAAGGCCCAACACAGAGCCAATTAGCAGCCACCACAATGGTGGTGGGCTTGCCACAGCTTCCACGGGAGGCCCCATGTGCAGCCAGCGTGTCAGGCCAAGTTAGCACCAGGAGGGCTGAGTGGAGTCCAGCTGGAGGCTGCCTGGTTGGGGGAACATGGGTGATAACGCTTCCCCTGGGCTCTGGGGAGCTGAGCCTAGTGAGACACGAGAATACGCATGCCTCTGCTCGCCAGTGCTGGTGTGGTGTGTGCAGGTGTGTGCTGAGTGTATATTCACACACGTTTGTCACTTAGGACCTGCCTGTCATTGGCATGCCTTCTCGTGTTCCTTTAGCACATTTTAGTGCATGCCTGCTGTGTGCACTGGGAAATCTGGGTCTAAGTAGGCCAAAGTCCCTGCTCTTGTGGAGCTTGCATTCTGGTGGGACAGACAGAAGTATCTACTGTGTTGTCAGGCAGTGAGAAGTTCTAAAGGAAAGGTTAAGCGGAAGTGGGATGAGTTGCTACTAAGCTGGTCTGGTCAGGAGTTAACCTCTGAGGAGGTGATCTGAATAATGGAGAGAGAGACAGCCTGGTGACTCTGGAGGAGGAGAGCTGTAGACAAGAGCAGAGAGCAGGGCCAGAGTGAGATGAGCTGGAATTCTACTATAGGGACCCGGTGGAGTG